TGTACTATTATTAACCTTAGCATTGGTCCTATTGCTGGCCAGGAAATTATTAGTATTATTCGTCGCAGTATGATCCTTATTATTGTTACTACTATGAAGTTTAGTAGTAGTGTATTCCTCTGACTATTACTTTTATGCTTATTATTATTCTTTATTACTAGGATGGTTAGTATTCTTATTGTTCGTATTATGCTTAACAATACTTGCATTAATATTTGTATGACTAATATGTGTTGCCTTCGTATTACTATTCGTCATCCTCAGCATCCTCGTCCTCCTCATCACCATCATCATGATCATCCAGGTCCTCCTCCTCATCATCATCATTCTCAGCATCATCATCACCATCCTCATCCTCATCCTCATCCTCATCATCCCCTCCCCCTCCTCCCTCTACCAAAATCCTCCCTCCGCTCCACGCTGCCCCCCCCTCCTCCTCCTCCTCCTCCTCATCCAAATCCTCATCCTTCGCCGACTCCGCTTCCGCTTCTGCCTCTTCGCACCCTCTTCCTCCTCCCCTTCCTACCCCTCATCATCATCCTCATCCTCCTCATCATCCTCCCCTTCCCCTCCTCCCTCCACCAAGCCCCTCACTCCGCTCCACGTTGCTCCCCTCCTCCTCCTCCTCCTCCGCCTCCTCCTCATCATCATCACACCATCATCATCCAGATCCCCCTCCTTCGCCGCCTCCGCCTCCGCTCTGCTGCTCCGCTCCTCTTCCTCCTGCTCCTCACCCTCCTCCCTCCTTTTTCCTCCTCCTCCTCCCCTCCTTCTCCTCCTCCTCCTCACTCCTCTTCCTCCTCCTCCTCCTCCTCCTCCCCCTCCTTTTCCTCATCCTCCTCCTCCTCCTCCTCCTGCTGGGCGAGATCGAGGGCCATCGAGGCCAGCAGCCCACCCTTCCTCGGCAACGCCTGCCTCCTCGCTTTCCTCGTCACGCTTCTCGCCCTCGCACTCCTCGCCCTCCTCGCCCTGCCCCGCGCGCCGAGATGGAAGGCCGTCGAGGCCGGCAGCCCACCTTCCTCGGCAGGGCACTGCAGGACCGCTGCACCCGTGCCACCGACGCCAGCGAGGAGCCCAGCTGTGCTGGCATCAGAGGAGCAGTGCAAGCAGCAGTAGCAATACTAAGCTGAACGAGGCCTCGCGGTCATGAAGGACTCACTTGTTTTCCGTGCGTTGCTGGCCAAGTTCAAAGTAGAGGTGTTTCGGAAATCGCAAAGCGATTGGTCTCGTCTCGTCTCGTCGCCTCCTCCCCCTCCTTCTCCTCCTCTTCCTCCTTCTACTCCTCCTCCTCCTCCTCCTCCTCCTCCTCCTCTTAATCCTCCTCCTCCTTCCTCCCTCCTCCCTCCTCCTCATCCTCCTCCCCTCCCCCTCCTCCCCCCCCCCCCCCCCTCCCTCCTCCTCCTCTCCCTCCTCCTCCTCCTCCTCCCTCCTCCTCCTCCTCCTCCTCCTCCTCCTCCCTCCTCCTCCTCCTCCTCCTCCTCCTCCTCCTCCTCCTCCTCCTCTCCTCCTCCTCCTCCTTATGATCCTCCTTCTCCTCCTCCTCCTCCTCCTCCTCCCCCCCCCCCTCCTCCTCCTCCTCTCCTCCTCCTCCTCCTTCCTCCTCCTCCTCCTCCTCCTCCTCCTCCTCCTCCTCCTCCTCCTCCTCCTCCTCCTCCTCCTCCTCCTCCCTCCTCCTCTACCTCCTCCTCCTCCTCCTCCTCCTCCTCCTCCTCTCCTCCTCCTCCTCCTCCTCCTCCTCCTCCTCCTCTCCTCTCCTCCCTCCTCCTCCCTCCACCTCCTCCTCCCTCCTCCTCCCTCCTCCTCCCTCCTCCTCCTCCTCCTCCTCCTCCTCCTCCTCCTCCTCCTCCTCCTCCTCCTCCTCCTCCTCCTCCTCCTCCTCCTCCTCCTCCTCCTCCTCCTCCTCCTCCTCCTCCTCCTCCTCCTCCTCGCTAGCTTTACAGCTGAAAAAAGGTGTTACCACATTCGCATGCAAAGAGGGGGGAAGGGCCCAGGCCGCGAGGGGGGGCGACGGGCACCGCCAAAAACGGGCGCGGGCCGTCAAGGCCCATCGGGGAGGAGCTCATCCTCCTCCACGGAACGGGAGCGGGCCCGCTCGCGGGCCAAACGGCCCAGGGAAATCGCCTCATCTCCCGAGAGGCCAAAAAGGGCCAGACCACGGACCAGGTCGATCCCAGGGGCCTCGCTCCTCATTCGAAACCTCGAATTCGACAGGCGAGCGGCGGCAGGGCCCTCACTCCTACTGGACTCGCCCGAGTCCTCAAGGAAGGGCCGCCACAGGTCCTTCTCGATCTGCTTCAGACCGCCAACCTCCTGAACCTTGAAGCTGGTGGACGTCAACGGGTGCAAACCTTTCTCGATCCTCTCCAGATTCCGAGTACCCGTTACCGTCCTGGGACAACATGTCGAACGCAACGCACACCTGGACTTAGAATGAGCCCTGCGCGCCCAAGAAACATTGCTTCCACAACTCGTGCAGAAAATCATCGAGTCGACCTGAACTCCGTCCTCAAAAACTGCCGCCTTACGCATGTAGTGCCTATCCCAAGCCCAAGACCCCAAGACAAACTCATCTGGCTCCAAAACCTCGGGGTCCTTCTCATCGGGAGCTCCATGGGCACAGCAGGCTGGAATAGGGAGACCTTCCAAGGGCACCAACTCGATTTTACTCATCCACTCGAAGCCCACGTGATCCATGTACCCCTCGTGGGACAAAAAAGCCTGTTGTAACGCGCCAAACCTGGCGACTCTCTTCGCAATCTCATGCAAACCACCCAGCAGTAGCAAGTCCTCATCTGCTGCTCGAAACGGTTCAGCACCCTCCTTGGCAAGACGATCCGCCTCCTGGTTTCCTCTCCAGTCTCTGTGGCAAGCCTTACATTCGCGCACCGCCGAGTAGGGCATGTGAGATTTCACTTTGACAAAGCAAGCACCCTGAAGCCGATCGCCAATCTCACTCCACCAATGGGCCCCCTGTTCCGTGGCCCAAGACAGCGCCGAACTACCCAAAAGCCGAGAGCAACCCAGAGTGCCAGAACAGTCTATGTGTATTGAGGCTCCAGGGGCAGCTGCCGCATTCCTCGACAACATCAGAACCGCGTAATCTTCGCCGCCCCTCGCAATCTGGTCTGGCGCCTCCGTTATCGGCGCAACACCATAAAGAGCCAAGACCACTTCCCCGCTGTAGTCAGATAAAACAACAGACCATCCTGCCAACCTCAAAGAGGGCCAAAACATCTCATACCCAGATCCGTCAGTGTACACGTGCTGATCGGCCTGAATCACGATGCCCTCCCGTGGCCAGTTGATCCTCTGAGTGTAGGGGTCCTCCGCACACCTCTCGGGCCGAGAAATGAACCTCCCAGGATCTGGAAAGAGGCCTCTGCAGAAAAGCTCCTGGTCCTCCAGAGACAATGTGGATATCCGGCCCGCTGCAGTCCGAACCCAGTCATCTAGATTCCCACGCCTCCACACTGCATGAGCTGGACATTCGAAACGACGATGGAACGTAGTGCCAGGCGCGCCCTGACATAGCATACACAAACATGAAACTTCCTGGGCGTGTGAGTTGATCCTCTCCTGACTCCAGCACAAATTAGCAATCATCGCCTTCAGACAACTTTTCCGATGGTCATGCCAACCTGGAACATTCTTCTGGCAGAGCAACTCATACAGCGGAGCCCAGGAGATCGGCCCCTTCCAGAACTTGAAAACAGATTGCCTGGCCTGCTCATCCCACTCGATGGCCCTCCTGGCCCCAGCTTGAATCAAATGTGCAAAGAAGACTGGCGAGAACTTCCGAAAAGGCCAGGTTCTGCCGACATCATCGCGGAAGGACTCCGTCTCCATGTCGAGGGCCCAGCCTAGGCGACGAAGTGCGAGCACCAACGCCGCCACCGGTTGCTTCACCGCCGCCCACGGCCTGGCCAGAGTGAGAATGCGCTGAGCGCCCTCGAAGCCGCTCTGAAGAACCTCGTTCGGCACTGACTTGTGCCAAACCACGTGCACGAACTCACGAATGCACAGCGCCGCCGTGACCACAATCGGATCTCTGCGCCACGCCGATGGGTATCCCAAGAAACGAAACCCGATGCTGTTTCCTCGAGGAACTCCTCCAACCGCTCGAGCTGCACTAACACGAAGCTGTCGCAATGAAGCAACGGAAATGCCGAGGTTGGCCGTGCCCAAGATGGACTTGGCGAGGGGTGCCGCTCTGAAGATTCTGGACACGATAGAACCTGAGCCGAACATAGACAGACGGGCACCCATCTTTTTGGCCTCCTGAGCTCTGGTGAGTTGAGTCCCAAGACGCCTCCGCTGACCGCTGTTCGAGGCCCCTGTGGGCCAAGACGCACTTGTTCATCCCAAGACAGAAGCCCTCCGACTCCAAGACCTTCTGAACCAAGTGCGGCCCCGAGCAGAGCCAAAAACATTTATCCCAAGAAATCGGCAACTTGACCTCCTCCATGCCCTGCTGTGCCAGAGCACAAACCTGACCTGCAGCTTTGACCGCCGTCTCTGGACCCCCAATGATGTGGCCCGCCAGGTCGTCGATCACGTTAATCGTCCTACAGGGTGGGACCTCCCGAGCCAGACTGCCCAAGACCGAAAGGGGCATCAACTTGGAGACCCCCGTCGCGCACGAACATCCCGCTATGACCGTGCCGTTCGCCGTGGTCTGCTCACTCGTACTGACCCCCCATCTGGCACGCCTCGGGGACCTGTAGAGTGCGCAGAGAGCCTTGAAGAGCCCGAGGTCGAATCCGAAGCGGGCCCCCGTACGTCGAAGCTCTTCGCGCGAGACATTCTCGTAGAATTTCGCAATGTCGAAAAAAAACACGGAAATGGATACTAGCCCTTTACGACGATCATGGCATACGAGAAGGTCATGAATGCAACTGGTCCTCTCCGCCGAAGTAGAAGAACTCTTACCCCAGCACGAGGAATTGTCGACCTGCTTCTCCCACCGACGGACTTCTCTCTGACGCACCCTGCTCCAAATACGGGCAACTGGACTGAGGAGCCCAATGGGGCGGACTCCTCCCGTGGGCTTGCGAAGGAGCACAACGATGACTGTGAGCAGGTTGTCACAAGATGGTGTTTTTTTCCCAGGCCGAGAGAATGCAAGCAAGTCTGCCCACCGACTCTCTGCTGGCAAACCGCAACGACCGCGGATGCAAGGCTTCCCAACCCAACGCTGTACCAGGAGGGAAACAATGAAGCACACTGTAAATATCCTCTGCAGACATGTCCCGAAGTGCCCATTCGGCTTCCCACAAACTCGGATGCAGTTCGTGGTCGCGTGCAGGGGGGCACCAAAAAACTTCCCAGTCCTTGAGAATCTGTTCGACAGCGCCTTGACCTGATCTGGCCAGCCCGTCGGTAATGATCGCCGCCTCCTCCTTCGGTTTATTCCGAATGACAGCAAAAGCAATATTGGAATGACCACTGAGCGCTTCCTTCGAAAAACTTCGCCACTGTTGAGATCACTCAGCTGCATCCCACCGTTGACAACACTGAACTTCCTCGGTGGGCACCTCATGAAACCACTCACAGAGCACCCCACCACGAACTGCTAGAGCAACCCACTTCTCAGGCTGCGGCGTCTTGAGGAGCTCCGAATCAGAAATCGCCGCCGGCAGAGTGAGCGCCGTAAGCTTGTCCTCGAGCCGAGACTTACGATCTGGCCTCCTCTTCCTGGAGCCTGGCGTTGCCTCACCCCAGGATTTGAGCTGCTCCCACAGCTTCAAGGCAGCCCGCCATGCAGATGTGCCGTCCGTGTCGATGTAATGCTTAAGGCGAGCTAGCCTGGTAGAAAGAGGAACGTCTCGAAACCGAGGCCCACGTGCTCTGCCTTTGCACGGCGCCTGATTTGCCTTGTCGATACGCAGCCTGGCGCATAGATCAATCTCAACCTTCCGAAACCATTATTGCAAGGCTGCGTGCACGGAAGCCAGCGACGAAGAGAACACTGGCTCCTCCGCAGCCTCCGCAAGTGGATCCGTTACGCCAGACTTCGGGTCGCACCCAATCGGAACCAGCGGAAATGACTTGCAGGCTACCTCTTCTCTGACATCGGCTCCTCGACGATGCCCTCGAGAGACAGAACCACTGGAGAGTGGGGAGACATCGGCGCCTCCTCCAGAACCTGAACCGTACAGTCGAAGGTGTCGAGGATACTGGACTGAATAAAAAATCTCGCACGTTGTCCCCACAAGTCGCACGCGGGGTGGCACGGATACTGCCGCGAATAAGCTCGAGCCAGCCAGTCTCCAAGATGTCCTCTGGATCCATATTCCAATCGCCCGCCAAGGGGAAAGGATAAGATTGTCCCAAGAGCACCGAAGCCAGGAAATCCAAAAGGTCCCGGTTGTCTCCAGAGGCCCCAATACCAGTCACCGCATAGACAGAGCCCACTAACACCGCCGAAGACGTCGAAAGAGTGACGAGCTTGAAAATAACACGATGCTGCCATCGACCAGGGACCTCAATGCAGCTGCGAGCCCCCAAAAAGAAAGAAGTCAAAATCGCCACTCCAGCTGAGACTTCCAAATGCCCACTTCCAGTCCTGAGAGCGGGGCTTGCAACTAACTTCATCGAACCAGATCTACTCCACTGGTGAGCCGAGCGCTCGGCCTGATCCGAAAAGAAACGGTGCTCTTGTACACAAACAATATCTGGAACACCTCCGTGCTTGTCCAGCCAGAGAATCGCCTCCTTGGCCGAGGCCCACGTATTGCCATTAAGAGTGCAGACAGTGAGCCCTTTTTTTTGGCAGTGAGGCTGCTCCAGTGCCAACGCCGATGCTAGACAATCGACATCCGCGTCCACCTTTACAATCTCGCAGGCATGGGCAGAGATGCTCGCTGACCCTGTCCCGCCTCCAGACCGAGATCCAGGCATTTGCACCAGTTGGAGCTGGGCCAGCGGTGGCGACTCGAGGCCAGGCTGTCCAGCAAAAGGAAGTGGCGACGATGCGGAGCTGGAGCCGACCAGCTGCTGAGGCCTCTCAGTTGGAAGAGAACCAGTAGTAGCATCCACCGCAGAGACCGTACCAAGTCTGCCAGAATCAGTAGACAGGACCGCCGTCGTCGCCGAGCTGCGCGCCGTCGAACGCAAAAGAGAAACAAAACTGGGTGGCGTAGACCTCGAGCCCGTCGCCGAAACGAAGGAGAGTTGATCAGGCTGTGCTGCTTGACAACCGAATTCAAAACTGGGGAGGCTCGAGCCGTACGTCTCTTCCTCCTGGGCCGTCATGAACTGCAACTCGCTGAACGCATTCACGTGACCACCATACGTGCTACAAAATGTGCAACTGAAAACTGAACCCCCTGACCTCTTGCAAGGCTGCTCGCACTGGACCAGGGGGTCCTCTCCTCCTCCTCCTCCTCCTCCTCCTCCTCCTCCTCCTCCTCCTCCTCCTCCTCCTCCTCCTCCTCCTCCTCCTCCTCCTCCTCCTCCTCCTCCTCCTCCTCCTCCTCCTCCTCCTCCTCCTCCTCCTCCTCCTCCTCCTGATCCTGCCTCCTCCCGAGGCCGTGGAGGCGAACGACGGGGGCGGCGCACGCCCGCCGCGGCCTTTGGGCTGGCCCCGACCAGGGGTCCTGGGCGCGGGAACGACGACGACGACGACGACGACGACGACGACGACGACGACGACGACGACGACGACGACGACGACGACGACGACGACGGCGGCGACGGCGACGGCGACGGCGCCGGCGACGACGACGACGACGACGCCCGCGGCCACGACGACGACGGCGCCGGCGCCGGCGCCAGCGGCCACGACGACGATGTCGGCGACGAAGACCATGATGACCACGAGAACCCCGCCGCAGGCCGCGCTGTGGGCGGCCCGCGGCCGCGCGCCGACGGGGGCGCGGGCAGGCGGCAAAGGCGCGCGGCACTCCGCGGCGAAGAGGGCGGGGGCGCGAAGGCGTCAGCAGCGACCGCAGCGGGCGGCGGGCGCAGCGGGCGGCGGGCGCGAGGCGTCAGCAGCGGCGGCGGCGGCAACGGCCGCGAGCGCCTCCCGCGGCGGCAACGCCTCCGGCGACGGCCGCGGCGGCGGTGGAGCAGCGCCTCTACTCAGGACCACGTGGTCCTGCCTGGGCTGTGGGGAGCTTGCCGCGGCCGGCGGCTCGCGCTGGGTGCCCTGTGGTGCAACTCGGCCTCGATACCTCCTGTGGCTGGCGCCCCGTACCCAGAGCCCTGAACTGCAGCCAGCGGTTGCCGCGCTGTGCTCTGTGGTCGTTCGCGTTCGATGCCCTCGTGGCTGCTGTAGCCCTTCGTTGGCCGCTTGGCTGGGGACTCGGGGTCGTCCCTTGGCGGCGCGCCCAAGGGGGATCTCAGAAAGCGTCGGGGTTTCTCGAAGGCCCTCCGGCCTTCTGGGAAGGCGTCTGTGTTTTCGGAGGAGCCTTGGAAAGCTTTTCAAACAGGCTGGAGGCCTTCTGAGCCTTCTGAAAAGGCCCGCCCTCTCTGCCGTCCCAGAAGCTCCCAGCCAGGCAGCGGGCTCTGTCTGTCCCAGCCGTTCCCGCGGAGGTCGTCGAGCATGTTTTCTCGGCCCGAAAGGGCGAAGCGCATTCGGCGCGAGGAATCAAGTGAGCGTCACTCGGGGATGGACAGACCTCCCTTTAGCAAAACGTGGTTTAGTGAGAACGACCTGGGGCCCAAACCTGGCGGGCGCAGGCCTGGAAAATAACGGCCAACTGTTGGGGGTTCTGTCCACCCCCGAGTCACCTTGGCATCTTGGACCACATCCACTGTTGGCGCCGCCACAAGCCCGCGAGCCCTGGCCGCTGGACCACAACGCTGGATGCCAGGCGCTCTCGGCGCACGCGGCGCGCGACCTTCGTCTTGCCCCGCCACGGCGACCAGGGCGGCGGGCAGGGGAAAGGCGCGGCGCCGACGTCGCGCCCGCGACTTCTTCGGCGCGCGGAGACAAAACATCGGCTCGCGACTGCGCTTCTGAAAGCGCCCCCCCCCCTTCGCCTGCACCCCGATCGCCAGGACGGCCGAGAACTCCCGGCCGAGCGCCCAGGCTCCCTGCGCGCCGCCTCCAGCTCATCGCACGCGCTCGCCCACTTGCCGCCCAACCCTGACAGGAAGGGACAGGATGCCGACCAGCTCCACCGCGAGCGGGTGCTCGAGGAAGTCCACGAGGGGGGCAGGGCAGCCCAAGAGGGCCCGAAGCGACCCTGGCGCCCCAAGACTGGCCAGAAGGCTCCGAAGACGGCCCAAGGGGACCCTTGCGACGGCCCCACAAGGCCCAAAGTCAGAAAACCCGCATTGGGCCCCAGAGGCGCCCAAGGCGGACGCTGCCGCCGAATAGCGGGCGGAGGCGCACCGAGGTGCACGGTTTCCCCCTGGGCCGTAGGCGACCCGAGGAGAGGAGGAGGAGGAGGAGGAGGAGGAGGAGGAGGAGGAGAAGGTGGAGGAGGAGGAGAAGGAGGAGGAGAGAGGAGGAGGCGGAGGAGGTAGGGAGGAGGAGGAGGAGGAGGGGAGGAGGAGGAGGAGGAGGAGATGTAGGAGGCGGAGGAGGAGGGGAGGAGGAGGAGGAGGACGGGCTGCCTAAGCCCTCCAGAAAAAAAACCTCCACACCGAGGAGGCTTGCCGCGGCGCCCCGCCGCGCAGTGGGACCCGCCGTCTTTCGAGGCTCTCGCGGAGGGCTTGGACGAGGCCGCTGGCGCCGCAGGCCTCGATGCCTGGACCCGGCAAAAGCTCCGCGCCAGGGTGCGGCACGCCCCAGTCCTTGTCCAGGACCTGCACGCGCTGCCAGTTCGCATCGCGCGGGCTGCCCGCCACGGCCAGCACGAGGCTCTGCAGCGCGAGAGGATGACCTGGCGGATCGTCGGCATCCCCAAAAGGGCTTCGGACGACGCTCGGCCGATAGCCGCCGCCTCCATCGGGCGGCGGGCGTGGCACACGCTGCTCCCGGACCAGCGCCCGGCAGCGCCCTCGGAGCAGTGGTCCGCGAGGGGCGTCCTGCGGGGCTTAGCCGACTGGCCGGCAGCCCCTGGCAGCTGCGGGGCGGAGCGGGGCCGGGCGAGGGCCCTCGCTTCCATCCAGCACGACGCGGCGCGGGCGGCGCTGGGCAACAGCGGCTGCCCACCTGAGGTCGTCGCCCACCTCGCGGACTGCCCGGCGGCGCCCGGCCGGTGCTCGGTGGAGGGGGACCTCGCGGAGGCGGCTCTCCCCGCCGCGGGGGCTCCCGCTGGGGGGCCCCCCGTGCACGCGGGCACTGGCGCTGGCACCTGCCCCGCGGCACGGCGCGGCGGTGCGGGGGGGGGGGAGCGGACCGCCCGGACGTGGGCTCGCGCGGTCGACCGCAGCCTCGAGGCCGCCGAGAGGCCCTCCTTGGCCGCCGCCGCGGGCGCGGCCCCTGATGCTTTCGACCGGCGCCTGACTCTCCTGCCCAGACATGCGACTCCTATATTTTCCCATACGGCGTCCCCGGAAGTCCCGACCCTTTCCCCGGGGCCGCTTTTTCGTCCTGGATCGTTTTTTGACAGTCCCGGAGACCGGCGAGGGCCTCCGGGGGCCGAAAGTAACGAAAAACTGGCCGTCCTGGTATTTTAACGACGCGGGCATGTCTGAGTGGAGCACCAGAAGGAGCAGCAGGCCTGGACTGGCCCGGAGGAGGTGGAGCACCTGGGCGTGGTAGCCCGGGGGCCCCCGCGGAGACCGAGAGGCCCGCCCGCCGAGGCGCCGCGAGACGGCTGGGACCCCTATCCCGAGGCCGCTGCCCAGCAGCTCCAGCGGGTGCGGAGGGCTCTGCCGACCCGCGCCAGGCTTGGAGCCGATCGGCAGCCTGCCCCGCTTTCAATGGAGGAGGAGGAGGAGGAGGAGGAGGAGGAGGAGGAAGAAGAGGAGGAGGAGGAGGAGGAGGAGGAGGAGGAGCGAACGTCGCTGACGAGGGGGAGGGCCCCTCTCATCGAGCCGCCGCCGCCGGCGGTTGACAAGGTGATGCAGACCGCTGCCCTGCGCGCTCCTCCCGCCGGTGGTGGTGCGGAGCCCGGCGCACGGCGGACCACGCCGTACTGGTGCCGTACTGGTGCCGCGCAGCTGCCTGCGAGCCACGCCCTCGCGGCCTCGCTGCGTGCCCGCGCGGAGGCCTTGGCCACGGAGCTGGTTTTCGGCCAGGGGGCGGGGCGGGGGCGCCGACGACCTCCGAGGCGGGGGTCTCTGTGCGGCCGCGAGGCGGACACCGACCCCACCTGGCAGCGGGCGCGGGGGGGGACTGGTATGGGGGAGGGGGGGGAGGGGGGCAGGGAGGGGGAAAAGGAGGGGAGAGGGGGGAGGGGGAGGGGGAGGGGAGGGGGAGGAGGAGGAGCAGGAGGAGGAGGAGGAGGAGGAGGAGGAGGAGGAACGCGGCCGCACAGAGAGACCCCCAGAGAGCTCTTCAGAACGCCTGGCAGGAGGAGGCGCCGCGCCCACTGGCGAGGGGCGAGCTCCCCCGGGGGTCCGGCACCAGGCGCCCGCCGGAGAGGGGGCGGCGAGCGCAGCCACGCAGCGCGGAGCGCACCTGCCTCGGGCGGCGGGCCGAGCCGCTGCGCTCGCGCGAGTCCCGCAGACCCGCCTCGACGCCGAGGGCATCGTCGGGAGCGGCCAAGAGGGGGGTGTCCAAGAGGGGGGGGGTGCAAATCATGACCGGCGGCATGTGCGCGGCCCAGCAGGGGGGGGGCAGGGACGTAATGAAACAAGAAGAGGCGCCATGAGATCTGGGGAGATATCATGGCCCACGCCATGATGTCCACCCCCCCTAGTCATCACCCCCCTCTTTTCCACCCCCGACATCGACCAGGCAGACGTGGAGGCGTGCTCCGAGCCGGCTTTCGCCGCGTGGCGTAGGTCGGGCGTGTCCTCCTACAGGCGAACTTGGGACGAAAAAAAAATACCAAACAAACACTCCAAAGTAGTCAAAAATAGTCAATACAAAAATCGCCCCCAGAGTATCTTTTAAAACTATCTTTGAACCTCCCCCCTGTAGAGAGACATGCCCGACTTCAACCTTGGCGCCGGGTGCCGACGGAGAGGGAGCGAGCTCTGCTCGCGCTTTGGAGAGAGGAGGAGGAGGAGGAGGAGGAGGAGGAGGTGGAGGAGGAGGATGAGGAGGAGGAGGAGGAGGAGGAGGAGGAGGCAAGGAGGAGGAGGAGGAGAGGAGGAGAGGAGGAGGAGGGAGAGAGGAGGAAGAGCAGGAGAGAGAGGAGGAGGAGGAAGAGCAGGAGGAGGAGGGAGGACGAGGAGGGTAAGCCAGCCCCTGCGAGCTCCGCTCTCGACCTGGAGAGAGGCGGCGCCGCCCCCGCGCGCGCGCTGCCGCGGGTGCCGAAGGCCTGCCGGGGCAGCGGGGGCCGGCCGCGGAGGCAGGCCTCCGCGCGGCTGGCGACGCCGACAGCCACGAGGCCCCGCTGCGGAAGGGCGTGAAGGAGCAGATACGGTGCCGCCACTGCGGGGCCCCAGCATAACTACTCCAGATTTCGTAATAAAGGCTCACGAGGATCGTGGCC